GACAGGCAGTTTAAATCGGAACCGATTCGCCTCTAAATTGGAGCGCCCACATGATAGTAGACGGACATTTTCGTCCTGGAAGTATCGTATCATATTTTTAATGTTTCGCTGATCCTCAACTACTTTGTCAGTTCATGAGCAACAGGCAAATTTGAAAATACCATCTGCTCATAATGTAGTAGGTTGATATCGCTGTAACATTGAAATCAAGACATAAATTAATGACATACAAACACCCAATTAGCCCCACCTTAGATTCAGTATGCATTAAGAAAATATTGCACGAATTCTGAGTAAATTTAATGCGACTGGCTCGCCGCCCAACTAATATTTTCTTTACAACATAAGTACATATTTTGTGACAAAACTCTGAAATAAGTTATGACCAATTGAAGAATTTGTATGCCTACCGAAGGGATATTTCGCAGTCAACGGCTCTGTAAGCTCGATCCAATCCCCCTGACCGGACTCATTTAAAGCTGCTACACGGAACTTGTACTGGTGATTCTCCTGGAGACCCTGCAACTCACATGTCGGTTCGCGACAGCCAGAGGCCACGGGAACCCAGCGGTCTTTGCCCAATTCGCAGCGTTCTACCGTGTAATGGCTGACCTTGGCACCCCCGTCGTCACGTGGAGGTTTCCAAGTTAGCCGTGTACTGAATGGTGTCGTTTCTGAGGCGGAAAGTGGGCCCTGACATTGACCTGGTGGGGCTGGTAAAAATGAAATGTTTCGGAAAGCAAGGTTATTTTAGAAGTTAATTTTTTAGCCAAATAACGCTACTTTAATTCTACTCTTTATTGACAAAAGCTAATCAAGGCCAAACTATTAAGAAGTAATAATTACTTGATGCCGAAACTATTAATGATTTATATGTTTATGACTCAAATTACACCCTTGACCACTTAATCTTAGATGGACAGATAACAATTGAAAGCCCTATGAACTAAGATTTGTATGGAAATCTAACTAGCTCTATACTCAAACTCGGGCAAAAGTTTTGGCATATATAGGAAATAGTGCAGCATATAATCTCGACATGTTAACAATTGCGCCACGCCGTTACGAGGGCCCTTGGTGCTCAGATAAAATTAGGTGACTTAGCCAGCCTATCAATTTTTATCCAAATATTTTGGCATATTTTCTACTCGAAATATTTGCCACTATAATAGAATTCCCATGAATTCGCTATACAGGCGTAATCTAGACTCCATTACAACACTTAGCTGATAATTTTTATGCAAATTTGACTTCCCTGCACAGATAGTAGAGACCAAAGTAAAAGTATTTTTTCAATGCCGTCTAGCGTACAAGTGTTTACATCTATTTAGGCCTATTCATAAATCAGATTGGCTTCAGATATCTCTTGCAACTAAATTACGACAATAAACAAAAAAGAACAAAATGAAAAATAAGCAAATTTATATTTATTCTTATACTGAGTTAATTAAAATGAATCAGAACGCTCTATAGGCATAGAGGTCTATCTAAATCTTAGCAAGTAAGCTATAAACATTAAACATTGATTATAAAGATTGCAGACAAGAAATAGAGCTGGTTGCTGTATATCCTTCAATAACCAAGATAATTATATTAACGTGATCCCTGAGCGGATTCTCGTGATATGAAGCCTTTGGCACGTTAGGTTATATTCAGAAGACAGAAGGATAAGGCTAAAGCAAATTATCCTACAAAATTATAACCAGAAAGGCTAAAACGGCAATCTTTATTGTGAAGAGAAGCTGTAGACACTGCATTCTTGCTTTAGATAGACATAAAGCTATGCTAGAAATAAAGCCAAGTAAGTGGCAATAATATTTTCTTACAGAGTACTTTGAGATCAAAAGGTACTACAGATGCGCCGCTCTCATTTTCAATAATCAAAGTGTATTTCCCGGACCGATCACGCGTTATGTCTGAAATATAAAATGGCAAACAGCAGGAATAATTATAGAATAGGAAAATAAGAAATTTGATATCCCCAAGGTAAACGATTTTTAAATTAAAATTTGGGCATTAATTAGTAACTAAATAAATAATACTATTTAGTACTGGCTACTAGTAAGCAATTTAAACTCTAATCATATTTAGCCGCTGCTATGACTTTGGTACATTTTCTAGCAATGGCTGCTAAAGATAGCTTAGGTTTGGCTCGTTTGCTGAATTCCTTTCCTATAAAATTATTCTTAGCCAGTGATATTTCCAAAAGCGTATACTTATTATAATTGACTTTACCTCTCTTTTGCCTTTTACCGACAAAGTTATTTTATTTAATAGAATATCCTCACTTTCCTGACATCTAATAGTCCATTACCCCCTATATAGACATAATTCACTTACAACCACATCAAAAGAAGAAGTTCTCTTCATAAATCTGTAGATTTATGCAAGCAATGGAATACCAATCAGTTTATTATAATCCTTTAATTAAAGCTATACCGCTCATAAATAATGTGCTATAAAAAGTTCCTAGCATTTCTGTCAGCAGTCTGAATGTATTAAGTAAGTAAATAAAAAATGTCTCTGTTATATGCTTAAAAATAATTTAATAGGCATATAAATAAGTTGCTAGCTACATTTTAGAATTCTGTTTGCTGGAGGATAACAGAATTTCAGCATACACTGTTTTTATTTGGTTTGACTTCTTCTTCGAAACTTATTCGTGTTTAAAGTGCCACTTCAAATAATGCATATCATACTAGGTTTCTGCTAGTTTTTTAATGACTCTTTCAGCACCATAATGATGCTTGAAGATCACATGAAGACAATGATTATGGATACAGTAGTAAAAGGAACAAGTTCACCCCAAATTCATATAGCAAAGTGAAACTATTGTTAGGCCAAAGCCTGCATCGTTTACGTCCTAATATCTGCGATGGAGCTAAGACTTTGTATTGCAGCAATTTGTAATAATATAAAAATGTGGATTAAGGCACTATAGTAACAAATATAAATATTGTACGGGTTGTTTGTTCGCGAATATCTGAATTCACCTTTTAGTTGCACTGCCGCGACTCCATCCAAGTCCACTAATTTCACATTGGCTGACTCTGGAACATCTTGGCCGTTGCATTTCAACTTGAGCGTGATATGACCTTTTCCGGAGTAAGGAACTTTAAATTTCACCAGGTCACCTTCATTGGCCTGCTGATCATGTACTCCACCGAGGAACTTTGGTGCGTCTAGAATAGTAAGAATTTGCCTTAATAATTTATTGAGTATCTCAACAAACTTCTGTTATCCTAAATTTACCTAAATTTCTGTGAGGATTTATTTAAATGTCATATAACATAATAAAATAGACTTATTATGCTTTATATATTATTGGTCTGGTTGCGTTAAAATGATCGAAATCTGGTAAACTATGAAATCCACAAGATTCATTAAGCTATTCGAAGATTATTTTTTTCCGCCATATGAAACAGTTTCTTAGCGTGATATCATCATAGAAAAGTATTCTCAGTAACCATAAAGTGCATAAGATTTATCGATCCACCCAAAATCAAGTTTACTTTAAAAGTAAATTATGAACTATTAGCTAGGCCTTGCCGGGATGCTCGCGCAATTGGAGAATACAAGATATAACACAATTGAGTTTCAGTATGAATTTGAGAGAGAATGAAGGACTTCAGAACTGCAGGTATATAAATGTGTATTTTCTGAGACGAATTGCAAACAGACAAAAGTTCATATCCCTTAACTTTTCGGTAAATTGATTAAACTAGCCTGCTAAACTTGATTTTTGATAAGCTAAACTGGCCTAAATAGTGTGGATCTTTATCATACTCTCAAGGTGCACCATTGTGGTTTATATAGTCTCTACAAAGAACTAAGGAAAAGTGCAAATTAAAGACTCCTGCAAAATGCGTGATGTCTTTAGAGGAGGGTTTCCTGCTCTCGTAATATGGTCGAAATTTAAGTAAAACCTAACTAAATAAAAAAAAATTGATAGTTAAGAAATATCTAGCAAAGAAATTGTGGGTAAACTCAGAACTAGCGATATCTGTCGAACTAGGAGAAATCTCAATATAAGATAACATACTCAACAGAAAAGGAAAAATATAACATAATTATGATACTAATAAAAGTAACATTCTTTTTTCGGGTATAATATCTAAATTTAAATTAAAAATAATATTATTATAAGGATTACTTTAAGCCATTGCATTATCAAAACTCTTAACAACGAGACTCACTCAAGACTTCCAGCTCTGCAGAGCACTGCTTCTTTCCTGCCTGGTTGGCAACCTCGCATACAATTGTGCCGCCATCTTGTTCACCGATGTCAGAAAGCTCGAGTTTAGCCAGCCCCGTGTTTGGATCAGGAGGAGAGATACGCACTTTGTTGCCAGAACTCTCTGGCTTTATTTCCAGGCCGTTACGGAACCAGGTGACTTTAGGTGGTGGCCTTCCATCCACACGACAAGTAAATACGGCCTTGCCTCCAAGTGGAGCCACAGTTGCCTGGATCTGACTGATGAAATCTGCAGATTCGCCTAGGAATTTGAGTTATTTTAATAGAGACACCAGATATTTAACGCTGTTCTGAGCGTATCGGATGGAATTAATTTTATCATGATGTACCATTCCAAATTCTATCCTAATCCACCCCTGAAAATATGGTCTAAATAAGAAGATAGAGATGAAATTCAAATAATCCTTTCATGCGCTAAGATAGCCTAACTCAAGTTATTTAAAATAAACGATACTGCTGCTGCCAAGGCTCCTCACGAATGAATTTTAAATTTATAAAATCTATAAGATCTCATAAGCAATTTGCTCAAAATATTTACTAATGACCATATAGGTTAAAAATAATGTCTGCAAAAATGGATGATTTATGTATTTCTCGAACTCAACAAGCATGCAACAAAAATTAAGGATGCAGCAATTAGGAGAGCATAATGTTCAAATGTGAAATCTACTTGCATTACAATATCCAGTAAGCAGATGCATAATGGAATGTAAGTACAAAATTATTATAACAAAAATATGTATAGTTACTTTATGTGATCATTTTATTTCCAGTTAGTTTTCAAATGCACTTTTATGTTACAGACTAAGTCTGGGAAGTGTACCAATTAAATGGTGAGGACTTATAGATGTGATCAAAGACAAAAGCTAAACAAC